GCACGTGGTGTGGAGATAAAGGCAGTGTTTGTGAGCGAGCGGCTCCGCAAACAGGCGGGTAGTTGCAGGCCGGCGTACCGTCGCTCTGTCCCTCTCGCACCGCAACGGGACGCCGCATGGGAGCGAGAGAGACACGACGGGAATCAGCCGGCAGCAGACTGATTCCGAGAATCGTTTTCGTCGCTGTGTCTCCCTCGCACTCATGGGGCGTCCCCTACAGGTGTGAGAGGGACAGCGCGACGAAAACGACTTTCGGAATGAGTCGTCTGCAGTGGCGTAGTCATGCACGGTGCCCGTGGACTGCGTGTTGCCGTGCTTTACCTGGCGCCCCGGCTTTGCTCCAGTCCCATGCCTTGCCAAATTGCTCCCGCACTGTATTGTTCGAGCCGCTCTGCTTCCCTGCACACTGCTTTTTCCCTCCCCCACCCCCACCCCCTTTCCAATTCTCCTTCTCGTGCTTGCCATCCATGCATGGCCCGGCATGGCCCCAACAAGGGCTGCCAGACGAGACGTGCCCGAATCGGCCAGAGCGCCCAAAGCAGCCACTAGCCGCGAAAATGATGGGGGGGCTGGCACGGGTGGAGCGGGAGAGAATTTGGCCAGATGCTTGCTGCAGCTGCGCCAGCGCTAGCGCTTCTTTGGTCACAGGATGACAGAAGCCACTTATTCGTCCATCTATTCGAGGCAGCGCAACACGGACTAGCCACGTAGCTCCCCCACCAACTCACCCTTGTAGGCACCCCTTCCCCCACCTTCCTCCTCCTCCTTCATCCTCCTCCATCCTCCTCCATCCTCCTCCATCCTCCTCCATCCTCCTCCTCGTCTTCATCCTCGTCCTCGACCTCCTCCTCGTCCTCCTCCTCCTCGTCCTCCTCGTCCTCCTCTCCTCCCGCCTCCTCCACCCCCGCTCTCAATCGGGCCTCATGTATCTCCTAACTGGCCTCCTCCTCCTCCCAACTCCTCCTCCAGCATGCACTACTCCTACTCCTCCTACACCTTCCTGATCCAGGGCCACCCCCCCTTTTAAAAAAATCAAGAGTGTACATTGGGTAAAGGATCTAACTGGAGCATGCCTGGGAAGGGACGCTCTAACTAGAGCATGCCTTTCCCAAACATGCACTTAGTTAGAGCATACAGCCCTGTACACGCTTCCTGATGCAGACAACTCCCTATCCCTTATAAGGGATAAATGCACTAGATGCATGCTTCAGTTAGCGTGTACATGGCATGTATGCACTAGTTAGTGCATGCCTGGCAGGCATGCGCTAGTTAGAGCGTGCTTGCAGGCATGCTCCAGTTAGAGCATACCATGTACACTCTTCGATTTGTAGAGCGCCCCGCACCAGCCCCTCCCCGATCCGGCCCGATGGCACAGCCTCGTGTTCCGAAACTCGGCCGGTTACTTTAGAACCTCGTTGATCCCTACCAAGCGGCCGGCGGCAGCGGCAGCCACTCATGTCTGGGCACCCCGAGAATGCATAATAAGTTTCATCCCCGAGCTCGGCCACCCCCTCCCACTCTGAACCTTACCCCCACCCCCTCCGTCCCCGAGCCCAGCCCAAACCAAATCATATGCACTCCGAAACTACCACCAAATCATATACAAGAGCACGGTCTCATTGCGAAGCGCGGACGCATGACAGCGGCGTCAGTTTCAAGGCAAAAAGGAAAAGTGCGGGAGGGTGGGGCAGTTCGTGACAGAATTGGTAATTTTCACCCTGATCATGACCGTGCCGATCGGAAATGATCAATATGAAATAGAAGACGTTGTCCTTCAGCCCTTCAGGAGCCACCATTGCGTAAGTGTGGCCCTTTGTCACGAGCTGCCCTACCCTCCCTTACGGTCACCAGAATTTGTCGCATATTTCGCACTGTGAAGATTAGGAACGTTCATTCATAGCTTTTGTCGATTTGTTTTCCTTTGTGTGAAATTGCCGCAGGTTTTGGGGGCGGTGCGCTTATTGATGAGGCCGTCGCTGCGTTTGTGTGTGCAAGGCACACTGTGCAAGCCGCAGGTTGGCTTCGTGGACCGTCGGCTCATTTCCCCCACCATGTCCTATCTTTACCCGTCACCCTGTGCGCCCTTCTCCCCCCCCCCCCTCTCTCTCTCTCTCTCTCTCTCTCTCTCTCTCTCTCTCTCTCTCTCTCCCCCTCTCCTCTCACTTCCCAATCCCCTTGCGAACAACCCCCGATACCCCACCCCGGGGAAACTGTGCCTCCCCTCCCCTCACCCCCGACGGCCCGCGCCCCTTCCACTTGGCATAGTGAAGCAGCTCGCCATTTTTGCGACAAGGCAGACAAGGCATGCCCCGGAGCGTAATCGCTGGGCCCCGACGTGTGCGCTGGGGCCGGGCCGGGGCCGGGCCACCCCTGCAGCACAGTGGGCCAGAAGACCGGGGGAGGCGGACAACATTCTAGACGCGTTTTTAGCTCCAGAGTCGCTAAACAGGACGCGAATCGAGCGTGTGACCATACCAATGGATTCCTCGTTCGGAGAGCTATCCCCCCTCCAATTGGTGGGGTCACACGTTCAGTTCGAGTCCAGAGCTCAAAACGCGGCTAGAATTTTGGCCGCCTCCACCGGTCTTCTGACCCAGTGTGCTGCACTGCCAAAAGTGGGGAATCAGAATGTGCACCGTTTCGGGACGCTGGTTTATGGCCTTTGTGCGTCCACCCTGACGCAGCGCTGTTGGGACAGGTCAGCCCTCAGGACGCTCGGCGGGCCAAGGTCATCCGGGGACACTCAAGGTCGCACGCGGGCCGCGGTAGTAAAATGCGACTCCGCTGCCAAACGGCGTTGAATACTAATTCGGCGGCCGAGGGGGGCGGCGGCAAAATGAATGGGTGCGTACTAGCAGTGGAGCGGCGGCCAGGTGTTGGGGTAATGTACGGCTTTGATTTTGGCACCGCGTTGGGCGGGGCGGGGCGGGGCGGGTATCCGCGAACAGCGAAGGCCGACGCGATAGTCGGCGAGGGTGCGCGCGGCTCGGCGCGGCTGAAGCGAATCCAATTTGGAGCCCTGGGGCAGCCTGGGGCAGGTGCGGCTAAAAGCCGTAAACGTATTAGTTTGACAGTCTAGCACCGTGAAATATAGCGCTGGCTGGCTGAGGGCTGTTGTGTGTGCGAGGGGTCGCGTGTGTGTACGTGCGAGCGCGAGTGTCCGTGAGCACGCGTTTCACTGGGTCATCGGACGTAACAGCGTGCGCCACATATGAGTTTCTGTCTGAGTGTCCAATGTGTGCGTGCGTTTTGCGACTGCGAGCGTGTGTGAGTGTTTGTGGGTGTGTGCGTTAGTGGGTGTGCGTTTGCGTGCGTGGTGTGCGTGTTTTTCTGTGCGGTTGATGATGTTGAGTGCAATATTGCTGTGTGCTGATGAGTCCGAACGGCGTGCTGACCTCAGCCCATTGGTTTGCTAGGACCTGGCTTTGGCGCGTCCGTCCCCCAAGTACATCCCCGTCTCGGAAAGGACCCTCCGTCGAGCACCAGCGAGGTCCTGCGTGTACGGCCAGCAGGACGGCGACGGGCAAGAAGACGGAGCGCGGTGACGGAGCGTAGTCAGGATCTCCTGGTCAGCGCGGTCACCGAGGCCTTCTTCGCGTTCACCGAGGTCCTCTTCGCCTTCACCGAGGCCTTCTTCACCCTCACCGAGGTCTTCTTCGCCTTCACCGAGGCCTTCTTCGCCTTCACCGAGGCCTTCTTCACCCTCACCGAGGTCTTCTCCGCCTTCACCAAGGCCTTCTTCACCTCCACCGAGGCCTTCTTCACCTCCACCGAGGCCTTCTTCACCTCCACCGAGGCCTTCTTCACCTCCACCGAGGCCTTCTTACCTTCACCGAGGCTGCGACGGTGTTTCGGGCCGGTGCCGCCGCCAGCGCGAGAACGCCTCCGCCGCCGCCGCGTCGGCGCCATGCGGCAAGCCCCGCGCCGAGCCCCGCGGCGATAAGCGGAAGCGCGCCCCGCGATCGCGATGGTGTTCATCCACGGCGCGAGTTGCGCCCGCGGCGTGGGCCTGAGTGCGGCCGCGCGACCCGCCGCGCCGCCGCCGTCCGCCAGGGCCGCCATCGCGGCGCGCGAGCCCTGCTGCTGCGAGTACGAGGACTGCCGCGGCTCTGTCCTCAAGAGCGCCGTCCAGGACGCCGTGGGCGCGGCCAAGAGCGCCCGCTGGCACCGCGACCTGCTCGACCTGCTGGCCGGCCCCGGCTTCGCGACCGCCGCGCACGTCGGCGCCTGCTGCAGCCAGGAGGAGGTGGAGCGGGGCGCCGACGCCGTCCTCATGTGGCGCATGTCGCCGCCCGCCAAGGCCTCGCCGCTCTCGCTCTTCGAGTACGTTGTCGAGGGGGCAGGGGGTAGCAGACGTGGCCCACATCAGATCGCGAAATTTTGCCTTCCTTTGACTCAAAATTTACTTTACAGCACCAAAAAAATTTAATATCAGGTTTGAGACGTATCTACCTATATTTCTTGGAATTCAGTGGGATATCGCTAGTGATTCAATCCCATAACGTTAACAAAACCCATAACCCTCCGCAGTCAACCAATTACTTGACCAAACGTGTGGCGACCTTGAACACAATATTTGAATACTGCATATTGTCTGAAATAGACCTTCAGTTGACATGGCAAAGTGGAAGCACAACACTTGACACAGTCAGCAAATAACATACTCATGGTGGGCCTTTGTAAACCGGTAGCCTTATGGGGGGCATACCCTATAGTCTACCGTCGCGAGGGCAATCAATTGCACATGTGTTTGGCTCCTTCACTGGTGTTAGTTTTAATTGTTGTTGTTTTGATTTGATTAACACGAGTTTGCACGATGTTTTAAGTTTGATAGTATGCTACTTCCTAGCAGCGCTATGTTTGTTTATCGTTTTTCGGTCATTGAGCATCTCACGTATCTAACTTGGAATTTTATTTTTAAATTACTTATTTTTAGCTTAGTTGTTTTCCTTTGGTTTTAGACTGCTTGTTTACCTTTATTTTGGCTTCCTTTCCTGCAGTTCTGGTCGCCGTGCGTCCGTTGCTCCTGAGGTGACCCAGCCTCCTACATACTTAGTCCCATATCAAAGGTAAGCACAAACCAGTCTCTGAGACGAAAGGGGATGCGATGATAAGTTCCAGTAAGGTGAAGGTAAAACATGCATGAGCTGCTTGTAGAGTTGAAAATTGCATGATTTTCTGCTGACTGCTTTTCTTTTTTAGAGGAAGAGCTCTAGAGTTACGGCTCAACCAATTTCAAGCTTTAAAATGCAAATGTTATTTTTCGATTAATTCATTAAATTTCATTGAATTCCAATTGTGCCCAGTATTGTCTGGTTCAAAATGTTCAACCGTTTCAGATTCTTTGGATCTAACAACTGTAATATTGCTTATTTTTGGAAAATTGTCCGAGAAAATGTACTTTTTCCCCAAAAAAGTCTATGAAGCATTTGCTGAAAAACCACTGAAAAAATGAAGGCATTGTAGAAATTCTTTGTATTAATGATGTTTCGCATCATGAACAGATGCGTCGTAGTAAGACGAGGGTTTTGTCTCATTTCTCCGAAGACTTAACCATGTCTTTGTTTTCTTCGTTTTGTGAAACGATGCATCATGGGCTTTTTGCTGTCTTTACTGACCGATGAAATGATTTTTAACACGCGCCCCTTTGTCCCGCAGGAGCAAGAGTCGCAGTGTGGACCATGGCTTCTCTCCGCCGTTCGACTTGGACTCGCTGCGCCACTCCGTCGACAACCGCATGCAGAGCGCGGAGAAACTGGCGCGTGCAGGTAAGAGCGGACAGGAATCGAAGCATTGTTCCCAGAAAAAGAACGAAAAGAAAGAAGGGAAAGAATGAAAGAGGGAGGGAAACCAAAGGAAGGTGACGGTCGCTTTTTTTCGCCCGGCAGCAGTAAACTGAGACTTTGATTTATGGAGTTGTTCCAAGTCTAGAACGCTAGACCAGCGGTTCTCAACCTTTCTCGGCTCGCGACCCCAAATTTGAAGCCAAAAATTTCCGCGACCCCCAGGAAAAATTTCGCGACCCCACGGGACCCCTCCTTTAACATGCCACGGCGTCTGATCCGAGGCGGGCATTTTGCTCCCTCAACGGGCAACTGGTCTTTGGACCTTCCTTTAGCATGCCTTTGTTACGGAGTGCAATTATCAGTCTTAGTTTGGGAGCAGTATTGTCTCAAAGTTGGCCAAAACGCTCAGAAATGTCTATGAAAAATCGTGTTTTGGGCTGATTTTAAGCAGCCACAGCGTCTGATCCGAGGCGGGCATTTTGCTCCCTCAACGGGCAGTTGGTCTTTGGACCTTCCTTTAGCATGCCTTTGTTACGGAGTGCAATTATCAGTCTTAGTTTGGGAGCAGTATTGTCTCAAAGTTGGCCGAAACGCTCAGAAATGTCTATGAATAATCGTGTTTTGGGCCGATTTTAAGCAGCCACTGCGTCTGATCCGAGGCGGGCATTTTGCTATCTCAACGGGCAATTGGGGTTTGGACCTTCCTTTAGCATGCCTCTGTTACGGAGTGCGATTATCAGTCTTAGTTTGGGAGCAGTATTGTCTCAAAGTTGGCCAAAACGCTCAGAAATGTCTTTGAAAAATCGTGTTTTGGGCTGATTTTAAGCAGCCACAGCGTCTGATCCGAGGTGGGCATTTTGCTCCCTCAACGGGCAGTTGGTCTTTGGACCTTCCTTTAGCATGCCTTTGTTACGGAGTGCATTATCAGTCTTAGTTTGAGAGCAGTATTGTCTCAAAGTTGGCCGAAACGCTCAGAAATGTCTATGAAAAATCGTGTTTTGGGCCGATTTTAAGCAGCCACTGCGTCTGATCCGAGGCGGGCATTTTGCTCCCTCAACGGGCAATTGGTCTTTGGACCTTCCTTTAGCATGCCTTTGTTACGGAGTGCGATTATCAGTCTTAGTTTGGGAGCAGTATTGTCTTTTCAAAGTTGACCAAAATAGTTTCAACGTTTTTTCAAAGACACTTGCGCCGTTGATCGACTTTGAGACAATACTGCTCCCTCAAACTAAGACTGTAATCGCACTCCGTAACAAGGCATGCTAAAGGAAGGTCCAAGACATTGCCCATTGGGAGCAAAATGCCCGCCTCGGATCAACGCAGTGGCTGCTTAAAATCGGCCCAAAACACGATTTTTCATGGACATTTCTGAGCGTTTCGGCCAACTTTGAGACAATACTGCTCTCAAACTAAGACTGATAATTGCACTCCGTAACAAAGGCATGCTAAAGGAAGGTCCAAAGACCAATTGCCCGTTGAGGGAGCAAAATGCCCGCCTCGGATCAGACGCAGTGGCTGCTTAAAATCGGCCCAAAACACGATTTTTCATAGACATTTCTGAGCGTTTCGGCCAACTTTGAGACAATACTGCTCCCAAACTAAGACTGATAATTGCACTCCGTAACAAAAGCATGCTAAAGGAAGGTCCAAAGACCGATTGCCCGTTGAGGGAGCAAAATGCCCGCCTCGGATCAGACGCAGTGGCTGCTTAAAATCGGCCTAAAACACGACCCCAGCATCGCCGCGACCCCTTAAAAAAATTTCGCGACCCCGCTTGGGGTCGCGACCGTAAGGTTGAGAACCACTGCGCTAGACGAACCTTTCATTTAAGGCAGTTCCTCGGGCATTTGGATGGGGATTGTTATGCTCCCTACACGTCGAGACGACCGTCATGGCCTGTGCACTTGCAGGGGCGAGCTACGTTACTTCCAGTTTTGACTGTGAAAATGCGAATTTAAGGCCGGTTGATATGCTTCAAGTTCGAAGTCTTGTTCAAAATTCATAAGACCTCAGCTCAATCTGCAGCCTTGGATCGATTTCCCTGAGCTCTTCAGCCCAAGGTCCAGGATCAAATATTCTTTAGACCCAAGCTCTTCCGCCTCGAGTCCTGAATTCAAGTGATTGAGCACCTCGGCGTGGAGTGTGGTCAGGCGTGGCGGAACCGCCGGGCCCCTCCCCGCCTTCTTTTTGCTCTCGGCGTTAAGGGTTTGTGGTGCCCCGGCGTGGTTCCCCGCCCGCAGGAAACAAAGGGGATCGATCGCCCGGATTCTGAGAATGACACGACGTGAGGGAAATCCCTGCGGAGGACAAGGTCGCCCTGTCGCGCTATATTCCGAGTTGAAATAAAACCCCTGCAGGGCGGAACGGTGGCAGTGGGTTACAGTGCAGTGGATTGTCTCGACTGCTGCGGAGTCGATTAGCGTCTTCTGAGACCCAATTTAATGCCTTTCTACAGTGTAGGGAGTTACTGCATTTTCCACTTCTCAGGGAGTTAGTGCCTTTTCACTTGTCAGGCAGTCGTTGCAATTTTACCTCTTCGGGAGTCGTTGTATTTTCTTAGGGAGTTATTGTACTTTCACTTTCAGGGAGTTATTGCGTTGCGGCTGGTGAGAGAGGGTTATTCTCAGGATTTTGAGCATAATACTGTTACCGCGATGACACTAAGGTGTTACTTAGCACCTTTCGTGAGGTGCTTCTTTCATCTCAATGCATGGGGGAAATTACCTTGAAGCGTACCCGCACGCTTCAGGAAAGGTGTTAGGCCTTCAAGCGTAGTTGTATCCTTGAATGAAGTGTAGGACAGTGCAGGCTGTAACGACCTTTCCGTCATCCTAGACACGTGGGAATGTTCAGGTTAGGAATGCTGGGTCACAAACTGGCGTGACGTTCGCCGCCAACTCCGCCAGGGTGAGGTGTTTGAGGTTATGTCGGACCAAACGGCGACGGAGCGTGGCTTGGAGCGTGGCTCGCGCCGACACGCTCAAGTTTGTTTTTCCAGTGGCGTGACCTCTTGGGCACGCTGCGTGCGTCGGAATCCCCAAGCCTTTCACCCCATCCCCTCCCGCCTGGTCGCTCGATGCTCACGCCGCTTCCTGGCCCCCCCTACCCCCGGCGAGGGCCAGGGCCCGGCCCAGCCCTGGGGCGGGGGAAATCAGCTGGGCAGTAGTTCCCGCACCCCCCGCGGGCCGCGCTGGCGTCGCAGCGCGTCGCAGGGTGGCGGCGGGTTTGTCAGAGGCGGAGGTGCGCTCAGTTGCGCCCTAACCGCCCTGGCTGCGCCGCGCCTGTCCCCCGCCGCCCCGCCGCCCCGCGCCGCCTCTCTCCAGACTGTTTGGCCCCGCCAGCCCCGCCAGCCCCGCCCAGACGGAGCTGCACAAGCTGCACCCAGCTGCGCCCAGCGCCATGGCTGCCACGAGGTAACGCGGACGTCGGGCTACAAGTGTGCTGGCCTGCTGGCCAAGTGTCGTCCTGGCCTAACGACGCGAGTCTCGGTGCACTTGCCGCCAGTGACTTGCGACTTGACGTTCGGCTGCTGATGTTTGACTCTCAGCGTGCTGGTCTTACACTGTTCACTCATTACGTCAGCTCGTAGATAAGGGACAAGCCGTCCTGGCGGTACCTTAAACCGTGCCATGGCCACATTGAATGAAAACAAACCGCTAGGGCTTGAACCCAAGGCTGCGCGCTGGTGTAGAGCTACTGCACTGCACACTGCTCTGTTGGTCAGAATGAATTTGATTTTTACGTATGTGGTTCAGATAGGGACCATCCGCTTACTCACCTTGTTTCCTGTTGGCCTGTCACCTTGACCCAACGACGTGTCACTACTCTAGTTAGCTTTGGAGGTATTGTGAATTGTCTTTATATGTCTTAAGAATAAGCGCCAAGCTTTCAGTGTCACGAAGAAAGTTTCTTTTCCCAGGTGCTGGCAATTAGGAACTTGGTTGTCATGATCTTTTTCCTTAACTCACGTTGTGGTCCGAGGGCTATCCTTTTGATGTCAACTGTTGGCGGCTTGAACATAAATGAATGTTGGTTCCTTCGGCAGGTGTCACAATAAGTATACCTTTCTAAGAATGCTTCATATTCGTTATTTCTGTTGAATATGGATTGAAGCCCGCCTGTATCCGAAAAATATAGATGAACCACGCGTCGGCAAACCATTAGCTCTGTGAAACATCTCTCCGGAAGAGTGGGAAGTCGTTGCCCCATATTGCGTCGTGTTGGATGAATGCGTTCCATTGTTAACCAACTAGTTGATCTTCACTGACCAGGGCATCTTTTGGCTGTGATTGCAGTGATTGGGTTTTGAGGTAACTAGCATCATCCATACGATGATTCAGCAGCCACATTCAGGCTCTCACCTCGAGCTCGGTTCCTCTCCATACTGGTCCCCTTGTTGATCTTTTTGTCACGTTAGGGGTGGGCGGTTTTGTCGTGATGGAGGGCGAACGCTGTGGAGCCAAGAATCGATCAGCCCACCTGGGCCCGTACAGCCTTCAAACTCTGTGGCGAGGGCCCAGGGCCGGGGCTCAGCCGGGCTTGGTCCCCCAGGACCCAGACGGAAATCACAGGGCACTTACGCTGCCATTTTTATGGCATCGCTTCAGTGCAGCTGGATGTGCCTTTCTCGCCTACGTGATGCATGGCTAAACGGCTGAGCTCAAATATCCACGTCGCTTGTGACCCGTTGCACTGCTGCAATTTTGACCCGTTTCGCTTAAGGAGAACATGTAGATGAAAGTTCAGCATAAATCCGGGGTGACGGAACCCGGTGCTGGTAGGCGTGGCCAGCGTGTCCTGTACTAGCGTGATTGGAATGCAATGCATGAGACTACTACACTACATTCCTTGCAGACAGACGGAGTCGTGTTAAGGGCCATTCTGTTGCTCTTGGGGGCTCGTCCTCGCTTGCAGCGCGAGGCGTGTCGCGTTATTCTGAGTTGTGTGTGAATGATTCGATATCCGATATCGATGTGTCCGAC